ACTCTTCCAATCCCTTCTTTCATGAAAACTCAATATGTGTACTGCATAAAGCTAGCAGTGCACCGCGTTGTTTTTAAAAAAATATGCGAAAAAAAGCTGAAAATAGAAGTTTTGTTCATGGAAATGGTAGCATCTAATAAGCATTCAATTTTCTCCATCATTTATATCATCCTACTACTTTCCTGGATTATTCCTGTATGATGCACTGCTATCTTTAACAGGTAGCTAGCAGTGCAGGCGATATCTCGGAAACTACAAGAGCACAAAATTTGTGAACTTGGCATTTAATTAGCACTTAATTAGCACTTAATTAGCACTAAATTATTCAAATGTCCAAAACTCTACCAATCCCTTCTTCCATGAAAACTCAATATGTGTACTGCATAAAGCTACCAGTGCACCGCGTTGTTTTTAAAAAATGTGCGAAAAAAAGCTGAAAATAGAGATTTTGTTAATGGAAATGGTAGCATTTAAATAGCATTTAATTTTCTTTATCATTTATATCACCCTACCACTTTCCTGGATTATTCCTGGATGATGCACTGCTACCTTTAACGGGTAGCTAGCAGTGCAGGCCTTATCTCGGAAACTACAAGAGCACAAAATTTCTGAATTTGGCATTTAATTAGCACTTAATTAGCACTAATTTTTCCCGTCATAAAAATTTTGCACTGCTGACTTTGCACTGCTAACTTTATATACGTTTCGCCAAGTCTACGAAGACGCACATACAGGGACGTTTGTTATCAACCGCTTTATATATATTTTTTTTAGTAGGTCCCCTATGGCATCCTGCGTAGACCTATTCTTCCGAAAACCATACTGCTTATCCGATAAAATTTTATTCCTTTCCATGTATTCCTCTAAACGTGTTTTCAAAATCTTTTCAAATACCTTGGAAAGTGTTGAGATCAAGGAGATGGGTCTGTAGTTATTTACGCTTGCCCTCTCACCAGATTTGTGCAAAGGTTTTACTTTTGCAATTTTAAAATTAGCCGGAAAGACCCCGTGCTTAATTGATAAGTTATAAATATATGTTAGAGGCAAAGCCAGTTCATCTCTATATTCTTTAAGTAGTTCAGTAGTTATACCATCTATCCCAGGAGTTTTTTTGTTTCAGTTGTTTTATTGTGCTTTTTACTTCCTGTATCTTAGTCTCCTTAATAATAAATTTTTTATTAGTTTTCCTTGTTGGAATTGTTTTTCCTGTTGCTTGTATTTTGGAGGCCAAGGTTTTTCCAATGCTTACGGAAAATGTGTTGAATTGATTAGCAATATCCTTTTTGTCTGTCAGAGTTTCGTTGTTTTCCGTTTTAATTATTGAGATATCTGTTGTGTTTTTTTTATTTTCTAGTTTATTCAAGCTTTCCCATAGTTTTTTTGAATCTCCCATATGTTGATCTACTGTGGATTTATAAAAATTAACCTTTGCCGTTTTTATTATGTTAACTAAACAGTTTCGAACTTTTTGAATCGATTTTATAAGGTTATATTATTTGGGTTTTTTTTTTAACGCTTTATATAATTCAAATTTTTTATTTATGCAATTTACTAAAGCCCCACTAATCCAGGGAGATCGTTTTTGTTCTTTCCGTTTTATTTTTACAATAGTCGTACATATATGTCTTATGAAATGTTGTAAGACTGGATAACGACACATGAACTGAGACCAAACAAGAATAATTGATTATATTTTAAGTCATAAGGCGTGTTCATCTCGATATATCGTATCGATGAGCACTACGTTATTTTAATTTTGTATCTAGTGTTAAGTGTGTACTACGGTAGTACGTGGTAGAACTTGGTTTTTCATAACAAAATACTTTGTGTGTACTTGTCTACCAATTTTTCCTCAATTTCGCACAAATTTCTTCTCCCAGATCAATTTTTGTCCATTTCCAGCTATAATGAATGTTCTCTTATCTAATTTGTTTTTTCTCAATTCATCTACATTTCTTCTCTATTTAATTCTCAGTTTTTCGGTCTCAATTTTTGTGTATTCCCGGCTTTTCAGTATTGGTTTTCTTCATCTACATTTCTCTAAATAAAGAATATTCAAGATGAGCTAGATACTTGTGTACCGATTCCGAGACAGCACACAAAGGCGAACGACTTTTTTAGGTCTGCATGCATTGCGTCTGAAGACCAAAAAAAAAGACGTCTATATATTCTACATATATATTTAGATATCGTAAATTCACATCTTGAAGAAAACTGAGCCATACTATTTGGTACAACCGGGCCTAAAAGTAAATAATGGTTTATGTATTAAATCCAGATTCAGAGACGTCTTTAAAACATCTCGTTGAAGACGTCTTCAGAATGTCTTGGAAAAATTTCATGAAGACGTTTTTAGACAAACGTTGGAGAGACACGTTGGGGTTTTATAACATACGACGTCTGTAAGATGTCTTCAACACATAAGCAGACGTCTAAAAAACGTCTCGAATGTCATTATCTTAGGGACATTTTCAAAATGTCTACAAAAATGTCCCACAGAATTCACTTCTTATTCAATTTAGAAGTTACTGGACACCATTTAAATGCTACAGAACACTTTAGAACTTCAATAAGCCTTTTGGAAAGTTAAAACGACTTAAAATTCAATTAAGAATTTCCAAAAGCATTTTGTAGCGCTTCAGACATTCAAAACCTGATTTACAATTTCCAAAAGCATTTTAGAACAATTCAGAAGTTTGAAACCCATTTTATGACGCTCCAAAACATTTGGAAAAGCCCCAGAATTTTAGGATTCAGGTTGAGAGTTATTCAGAACAATTAGGATTCAATTTAGAACTGGAAACTTTTGACGCAATTTAGAACACTTTGGAGCTTCAATAGGGCTCTAAAATACTTAAAAATCTGTCAGAACAATTTAGAAATTACTGAAAAACTTCTAAAATGTTCCAGAACTCTTCAAGCCAAGTTAAAACACTTTAGAACTTCAATAAGCCATTTAGAACATTCAAAAACACTTTCCAGCAGAGTTTTGAAAGGTTTTAGAGCAATTTAAAAACTTCAGAAAGGTGAATGGACAAAAATTGACAGTTATAGAATAAGTAATAATAAGGAAATAATAGCAAGAAAATGTTTCTCTTTCAATTCAAATTCTTGAATTTTTATAGTTTTTCCTATTTCAGGCTCTTGATTTTTCCTTATTTCTTTATTCTAAATTCCTAACTTTTTCTGGCTCTTGAATTTTTTCATACCAAGTTATTGAATTCTCATTATTTCCGTATTTTAGAATTTCAGGCTCTTGATTTGTTTTTTTAATTTTTACTCCTTCCTGGCTCTTCTAAGTCTTGAAGACGTCTTTGGGCAGACGTCTGAGTCGTCTGCCAGACGCTGAGTTTTGTAACATACGACGTCTTCACAATGTCTTTATAGGACTCCTTGAAGACGTAAGCAGACGTCTAAAAGACGTCTTGAATGTCGCTTCTGGACATCTTAGGGACGTCTGGGTTTTTTCTCAATTTCTTTGGAATTTCTTTCTTTTTTCTCTCAATTCTTCCTGGTCAATTCCTGTCTATTCCCGACACTTGAGTTTTCTCAATTTCTCTTACATTTCTTCTCTATCCTATTCTTAAATTTTTATTTTTTCCTTGGCTTTCAATTCAAAAGCCTGGAATAAAAAAAAAACATGAATCTCTATTTCTCAATTTTATCGTCTTAGTTCTTATCTATTCCCGGCTCTTGAATTTTCGTTTCCTTCTAAATTTTTCTAAATAGAGAAAATTCAAGAGCTTGAAATACCAACAAAATACTTTCTGTGTACTAATTTTTTTTCAATTTCTCTTGAATTTCTTCTCTCTATTTCTCAAATTTTCCAGCTGTGTATCGATATACCGTATCGATAAGGCCTTCTTTTGTTTTATTAGTGTTGCAGTTACTAAAAACAGGTAGCGCCACAGGCATTTTCATTGTCTGCTGCTTCAGCCTTCCCGCCCTTCTCATAAGTTCAAAGTTGCTATTGTTAGGAATGTTTCTTAGAGGAGGAAAATATCCCATAATTCAATCCATACTTATGGGATAAGTTTTTCAAAACAAAAATAATAAACACAATGTCTATTTTTTGTGATCGATTTTTTTTGAATGACTTTATCGCTATTTATTCGCTATATACCGTCTTTCAAAACTCGAATTTCCAACGCTTTATTTATTATTTTCCATTCTCAGACAGCCGTTGAATTTTTAATAAACACACGCAACTCTCGAACTCCTGGCATGTGGCTGAACATCTCTGTCGAAACTCTGTGGAAAAGTTTGAAAGTTGCTTAGCCGGAGAGAGAGCACACAAAGTTGCGGGAAAAAGGAGTCACCCAAACGCGAGTCCTGTTTGAATTTCGCTCGGGGAATAGAGGTTCGGTGTCGAATTTTTGTTTTTGCGAGTTTCGGGACTTGCCTGGAAAAACTTCAAAGCTGGGGATAGAGTCTATTTGCTCTGATTTTTTTTTTAAATTTAGTTTTTTTTTTTTGTAGTAGCTAGAAAATAGGTTCGGTATCGACTTTTGTTTTTGGATGCTGTTGGGATTCGAGATAGAAAAGCTTCCTAAGTTGGAGCTGGAAATAAGCATCTATTATTTGTTTAAACTTATTTTCTAGGTTTTGCTAATAATAGTTATCTATGTCATTATAGACCAAGTAGTGGATCTTTTTGTGCTGAGCTCAACATTTAAAGAAATTACCCCATAAATAAAAATTTACTTTGTCTTAGGAACATAATGGATCACTTCTGTGTTAACTGTTGACGACAAGAGTGCTTATTATAAACCTATATTTATTCTTTAAGTTGCTGAATTTTTTGACCTGTATCCGTTAAATGTACCTACCTAAGTGTTACTTACAGTGCAGGTCAAAAAAGTATAGGTTATATATACCTACCCACCTACCCATATAAAAAGTGAATAATGCTGAAAATAAGAGAATTTTGAATAAAACAAACCTCTCAATTTATACTTTAAAAATTGTTTTATTTTTTTAATAATATAGATAGATTTATGTACAATCACAATAGAAGAAGATAAATACTAAGCAACAATAAAATATTTAAATAAAAAAATTTGTAACATTTCTATAATAATTTGTTTTTTTTTTCATAAGACGAATTTCTTATCCATCCTATTCCTATTAAAATACAAAATTCTAGCATTTGAGTGAATTATTTCTGTCATTTTGTATGTACAATTTTGTACAATTTTACACAAACAGTTTGGTAGGAAATTAATTAACAATTAAAAAAACAAAATACTTATAAACTTAAATTGCGGCATTTCATGAGGCACCTTATATTTTGTCAAGAATTTATTCCTACAGCAAAGTTTATCGTGATTTTTCCCTAAACTCATATACTTACTTGATTGAAAAAAAAACACATCATGACGGATTTTTGTATCGCTAGCTTGTGTGTCACAAAAACATGCCTACATACTTGGTAGGAAAAGGAAAATAATAGGTAAGTACGAACATTAATAATTAAAAAATCAACAAAACAAAAAAACATTTGATTAACAACCTCAACTGACAATAATTTCAATATCTGTTGGATTTGGTTGGGTTGGCGTTATCAGTTAGACTAGCTGTTTCTATCCAAATTCATAGAAATTAATTAATCAACCCAATTGTGTACTATGCCAAATCATTTTAAATTAATTTCAATGTGGTAGTTGGAAAAACACATTACCTATATAAAAAAATCCAAGAAAATTAACTTTCAACTAGTCAGTCAAAAAACCTACCACGGTCTCCACATACTATCCCCCTGTTCATTCCCCTTACTATAATCCAAAGGCTTTTCAACTTTAACCCTAACCTCTTCCTCTTCAATCGGGCCAGAAGGTCCAGGTCCAGGACTCGGTGTCCCTTCACTCGATTGCCTCAGGTTCACCCCTAAGGCATTCGCTAATTGCACATAATGCTCCGGCAGCAAAAGCACGAAATTCCCATCGTAGTTTTTAATGGCTTTAGGGTCCTCTGTTTTAATTTCAACCCTACTGGCCGGGTTGCTGTTAGTGTTATTATTGACTTCTTCGACTAGTGTAGATGAGTCTGGATGCTGAAGTCGTTCCTCTACGGATGGGGCTAGCGTTGTGGCTTGCCTCAAATCCACGTCCACTTCCGAAACGCATCCGTCCAAATGTCTCAATAATCTTTGCCTCACTCCAGAATCCATAACGGTCATGGTTTGAGCATCAGGCGTTTCCAAATACCTTTGCACTTCTCTAACACAATCTCCATAGCCAGCTTTGTATTGATTGATGCCTTTAACATCTAGACTTCTATGTCTTTGGAAGTGCCTTACTGTTAACTCTAAAATGTCAGCCTTTTCCAACTTGGAATGCTTGGTGTTGTCAGCCTTTGCCGAATCCAGTATCAGAGTTTTCAAGGCTGCAAGGCTCTGGTTGATTCTGGCTCTGCGTCGTTTTTCCATTAGGGGTTTGTTAGCTCTTCGGATTGGTTCTGCACCTGCGAGCCTTTTGGCTTTTGCAGTCATTATTGGGTCATGGACGGAACTGTCGTCTGGAACAAAATACAACAAATTCTAGTTTTTTATTACTGACCCGGTGAAACCAAGGATGTTAGGTGAGAGATTTTTTCGACTTGATAAAGGATGAGATATGCCTCTGTTTTCAAGTAATCAAAGACGAAAAACAAAGGAAGTAGGGGCCAACTGGTATATTAAAATTGATTTCTGAGAGTTAGTTGGTGTATAAAAAAACGGTAAGTTTTAATCAACCTAGAACAGTTCCAAATGAATTTTTCATGATTTGCGCAGTTCGATTATGTTTTTGACGTAAGTTATATAGTGAAATGCAACTTTTTTCTATTGTTGAATTAACTTGACTTATCTAAAACTTTTCCATCAAATCTCAATAAGTATGCGCCAAAAACAAAACCATTGTCATCTTTTCTAAAATAGACTCTGGACTGTGGACTAGCTATCAAAATTACATCTTATCCAGCTAATTGTGACACAAAAACCAGTGGAGGAAACTGGAAAGAGCATGTAAAAATCTCAGAACGATGATAGGAGAATCTTTTACTCCGTTGAAGGGCCTTAAGTGTCGCTAACACAAACTTTTAGTTATAATAATGACTCTGGAGTTAAAAATTATTATCCGTTAGCAAATGGTTCCTTAAAGCAAGAACACAAAATTCACCCAGAGTTTTCACCTCTACTATAATTCAAGCTGTGTTGTTCAGAACTGGTAAGGAAGGATATTGTTCTTTTCCTACTGATATGATATTTTTGGCATTGCAGAAAATTAATTTAAATTAAATAGTTCTCTTGTTACAGAAACTGGTAACCTATTTGAAGTTAGACGCACTGGACTTGGTAACTATAAAATACTGGATTAGCATCCCATGTGCGACAAAAGATGATGAACTGAACTAAAGACTGAATCGAACTTTCAGGATAAATTGATGGTAAATGAACCGAGTCTTATTTGCTGGGCTTAATCGTTCATAAAACACTAGTTCATGAAAATGAAAATTACTCCAAACTCACCCTTGACTGATTCGGTTTGTAAGTCCGTAATGTTGCAAAAATGTCCTCAACAGATAATTCGCAAAACGCCTAAGAAAAGTTGTATGACTAATTTTTCGCGTTCCGGTGTACGTAAATAACGAGCGTCGCGACGGGTCTCCGAGCGAGCCGACGTCCTATCACCAACGTCACTCTTTGGGCAATGAGGCGTCGAGTGAGCGTCGGGGCGGTTAGAGAGACGTCGCGGCGTCAGGGGGAAACGTTTGGTCGCGTGCCGACACTGCCACATCGCGCTGACGATGGGGGGATACACCAGAGGAAGTGTGAGGGAAGAGCGGGAACTGTGAAAACGGAGATAGTCAAAATGTTTTTTTTTTTTTTTTATATATAAATTTTTAGTTCTGACTTCCTCATTATACCCAATCTACATCTCTTTTTCTTCAGAAATATCCTTGCTTGAACCTTTTCTATTCATATCCGAGTTAATTCCTTTCTGACACCTTTTCCCACACATTTGATTCTCTTGCTTATGCTTAAGCGTTCAAAAATGCTGAAGATCCATCCAGTCGAATAGCAACATCCAGTGTCTCTTTTTCTTTTCTCAATATTCTTGCATCTTCGACACCACTGGATGTAAGGGTAACCTCATTTTCTCCATTCCAATCTACTCCATCATCTACTTTTTTCTCTATGGTATTTTCTGTGGTAGTCCTTTCCCAATTCTCGCGAATACTATTTTGAGCCAATGCCACCGGTGTAATGTTGTGGTGTACTTCTTCAACTAGTTTGAGGTCGCCATTCCATCTCATCTGTGGCCTGCCCCTCGATCTGTGTTAAGCATCTGGTCTCCTTTGTATCAACTGATCTGTGGTATTTCTCCTGATATAATGAGTGAATAAGTTTCAACTTAACTCGTAGATTTTTAGGGCAGCCTTCTTTTAAAGCTAAGTAAAAAAAGCCTTGCGATGTAATGGGGGTTGAACATTCAGCTTTTGCAGTATTGAATGTTGTAGCAGCCTGTGGTACGCTTACCTGATATCAAGTGCTGGGCTCTGCGCCGAGGGCTGCTATCCCCGACTCTTGAGCGGCGTTGCCGGCTCAAAGTACTCTATGCCACATCCTCCCTTTTCACCAAGTGAGTGTCTTTTGAACTTGGCACTCGAGTCGAATTCAACGCGACTAGCCTTAAGCCATTGTTTGTCCCATTTACACTGGGTATATCAATGTTATGGATAAAATTACACACTAATTCACTATACACTGTACAATGCTCATTCTCACTTTTGTTCTAACTAATCTTCACCACACATTCCATTGCAGGTGTAACGACGTGCCGACTTGACTAGTCTTCCTGATCTGGTGGTGTGTCTCTGGTGAGTGGAGTTATAGACTTCGGTCTTCTCCTCGGAACCTGGCTCAGATATTATGGAGTGGTTGGAGTCGTTGTCACTTTCGGAGCTATTGCCTTCAATTTCTGGTCCACTGCTTTGTGATGCAGCTGAACCGTATTCTGTGTTCGTATCATCTCCTCCATCGTCACCCTCTGATTTTGAGCTTGACTCATCATTGCAACTTTCGGGGATTTCCCAATTGGACATCTCTAGTCGAGTATCTGTCCCTTGCTCTAGTCTTATCATCGCTTCTAAGGTTACTTCTATAACTTGGCTTCTGTTTCGCATGACGTTATTTTCTGCGGCGATGATGTATGTTCTAGGTTCAGCTCCAACATCCATTACTCTCCCGAAAATTTTCATATCGGGTATCCAAACTTTATCGTTATTTTTCAAGGTAGAATTTGATCTGGCTCTATGTAGCTTATTTAAATTCAATGTTTGAACTTCTTTTTCGTTGCTTCTGATTTCCTTGAAGTCGTTTATGTAGTTCCATTTAGGGATAAATCTGTCTTTGTTAGCTGGAATTGAATGGGTCTTTGCATTTTAGAATTATATTCTTGGCTATTTTTACAGCGGATTCCGCCTGCTCACTTGATTGAGGATACCTAGGGGACTGCTTGTGATGTGATGTGATGTGATCCATATATGTATCATCATACATGGTTTTCAATTCCGTTATGGCATCTACAGCAGTTTCTAAATGTAAGTTGACAACTTCTATAAATTTTGAGAAATAATCGACTGCCACCAGATAATGTTTGTTGTTGGCCACTAATAAATCAACTCCAACGATTTGCCAGGGGTAATCTGGCACAGGGGAAGGAATCATTGGTTCAATTGTTGTATTTCTGTATTGAATGCATGTTAAGCAATTGGTTATAATTTCTTTCATTTGTTTTGAGATTTTGCGCCACCACACCGTTTCATTGGCTAGGCTTAAACATTTCGTCATGCCCAAATGATCCTCGTGTGTTTTGTCCAATATTTCCTTGCATAATGTCGTTGGGATAAATATTTTGTTGTTGCGGGTTACTAAGCCATCCATTATAACCATCTCTCCTTGATATTGCCAACTACTTAAGTAAATACCACTCTGTACATCAATTTTACTAAAGTGTGTCGATGAGTCAGCATTTATTTGGTATAAATGCCGCGCCGAAATCCATTACCGGCAGATTAAGGCTAGTGCAAAGTACCTTAAATGGGAAAAGCTCCTCTAGCTAAGTCTCCTCCCAGTGCAAACTACCTTCAATGGGAAACGCCTTTCTGGGAGTATTGAACGCAGCAGACTAGGTCCAGTGCAAACTACCTTTAATGGGAAACGCCCTTCTGGACCAGTCTCAAACCGAGCTTCTTCTGGGAGCATTGAACGCAGCAGACTTGGTCCAGTGCAAACTACCTTTTTTGGGAAACACCCTTCTGGACCTGTCTCAAACCCAGCTTCAGTCTTCAGTCACGTCAAGTGTACAGAGGATACATAATACACAGTTGTCTATAAGTAGTACGTCCCTCCGTAGAAGAGACGTCATGATACTATTTCTAGGGTAATGTTATTATTATTCAATACATATCTTATTATAGCCATACCAAGCGAGTTTCTCTCTACCTGAACCCCACCTACACCCCCAGGTCACGCTCCTGTTGTGATGTCCCAGGAGGAAACGTATAGGGGTTGTGACAATATTGGTAGAAAATTTTATCTTCTGTTGGTAAACCCTTAATATGTGACCAACCATTTTGTATATAAGTTATTATTCTTTTGGTTTGAACATCATTCCTCTGACATTCCAAGATACTTTTTATGCGCATGTCCTTGATAGGCACTGATTCACGAATATGATTTGAGTTCGTTGACGAATAAAATATCTGCTCCATGGACCATGATCACTGGATTTTAGTGAAGCACTGGATAATACGACAAGTATTATCATGTTTCTGCCGGGAATATACTGTACATCATACGAAAATCGCATCAATCTCATTCGGAATCTTTGGATTCTAGCTGATAGATCAGCTAATTGTTTACTTCCTAGAAGTTCCACCAGGGGTTGGTGGTCAGTCAGGAGCAAAAATGTTTGACCAAGAAGGTACTGGGCGAATTTTGTTGCAGGCCTAAGTCAAAGACAATGTTTCTTGCTCTATCTGCGCATATCGTTGCTCTGTGTCGGATATTGTCCTGGGCCTTTATTCTTGACTTTACCTAGGTAGAAAATTTGACATTGTTAATAGTTAATGCACTGTTTAACTGTCAACACAGTCAAATTTTCTCTCGAGAGAAAGTCAAGAATAAAGCCTCTGAATGCATAGCCGATAGGTTTTCAGACATCTTTATCCATTTTTTCCAGGACTGCTCCCAATCCATATGAACTGGCTCCGCTATGACTCTTGTTGGAAGTCCTGGAGCAAAATGTGCCGGAATTAGGTGTTAACCTGTATGCAGCCCATCAGTCTTCTAGCTCCGCTTATGTCGTTGGGTGATATCAACTGCTGGGCCCTGCGCCGAGGGCTGTTATCCTCGACTCTCGAGCGGCGTTGCTGCCTCAAGTACTTTATCCCACAAATGTATACGCAGAATACCTTTATACTGACTCTGCTATTACAATTTGCTGGATCAGATTAGTTCCTCAAACCTTCAACATATATATTGTATCTAGGGGTAACATCATCCTAAGTCTTTAATAGTCTTTAGGTTATTTCGTTTATGGTGGCATGAACCAAGCTTTTCACTCTACGTACATCGATCCAGCTTATCTGCAAAACATTAATGTTCCAGAAATTAAGGAATATTACCACTATCAGCATATTTTCCTTGTTTTCATCTTTATATTTTGTAAAAATTATAAGCTGTAATAGCTTCCTCTGAAAGAAAGGACAACTGGAAATCGTTCTATCAAGAAGCGAATGGAATCTTCCTAAACACCGACTAAAGAGCTGTGGATACGGGAAAAAAAGCAACAAAATTGGGATACAGTACACTCGCGCTAGTGTGAACATGCGCTTCTGTGAACCTCCCAGTAGTATGAACAGTCAGAATGAATACATTATATATTCTGTAGTGTGAAATTTTGAGAATCTCGATGGTATGAACAATGTACTTTACCACGAATTCAACCGCTTTCTGCCTACTTGTTGTTTTCATTGGTGGTTTCCGTCCGATTCTGGGGTTCCCCGAATGTTTCGAGACAAGGAATGCACAGGGTTGTTATTTTCGAAACAGGGGAGCAGCGCTCCCAGGAGAACGAGTGTTTTGTCTTTCACTCTAATGTGAAATATACCATGTGATAAACAAGTGGCAACGCGTCAAGAGTTCAAAAGTCTATAATAAGTTTTTAGTTCGTTGTTTGATGTGGTCAATAGGTTTTGTGAAAATGGATAATATGAACACGTCCGGTTTTTTTGTGTTCACACTAGCGCGAGTCTACGTATTACAAGCAAAACACGATAGCTTTAATCTTCATAAGAAAATAAAGGAATAAGGGAAATGTATCGAAAACGGAGTAAAGGAGTAATCTTGGGTTCAGACAATAGCATCATTACTGAAACTGATGAAAAACTTACAAGATGGAAACAGTATATAAAGAAGCTTTTCGGAGATAAAACTATCGAGAATGGGACTGCAGTGATTGGCGAGGAGGGGCCCATCATCACACAAAAGGAAGTGGAATCAGCTATTGAACAACAAAACCCCCGGACCAGACCAGATACACGGAGAAGTCCTCAAACTACTGGCGTCACAATAAGTTAAATTGTTGACCACTCTTTTTAATAAAATCTACATAAGCGGTCAAATGCCAAAGGCCCAAAGGATTGGCTGTTGCCAAAATTCAACCCGCTTCCCAAAAAGCCTAATGCAATCAAATGCTCTGATCACAGGATAACCAGCTCAATTAGCCACGCTTTAAAAGCCTTCCTAAACATCATCCAAGCACGCATATATAAAAGATTCGACGAGAACGTAACTGTCACCCAGTTCGGATTCAGGAAGGGACTGGGTACTAGAGGGGCATTGTTCTCCATACAAGTCTCAATTCAACAAGCACGTGACGTTAACGCATGCTTTATAGATTTTGAAAAGACCTTTGACAAAGTTCAGCACAGTGAACTTATCTCAATCCTAAATGAATCAGGAATTGACAAGAGAGATGAAGAAGTGATATCAAAGCTCTACCTTCAACAAAGGACCATGGTACGAGTCGAAAACGAAACATCAGGCGATTTC